GGGGTTTTCCCCCCCCCCCCCCCCGCCCTCCTTGCAGCCTCTAGCGTTTCAGGTGCAGGAAGCTCCCAGGCTTAAATGACCCCTTGGGTGAAAGGTGCTTCCTGTGGTCGGTTTTAACCTAGGGACTCCTCACTGTATCGCGAGCGAGATCCAGCGATAGATCCCTGTCAGGTTTCTCTTTGGTATGTATTGTGTAAACCCCCTCCCTCAAGTGTCTCTTTTTGTAAATTGAACAGGCCTTAGCCTCTCTTCCTATAGCAGCTCCTCCATGTGAATCATTCCTGTTGCCCTTCTCTGCACCTCCTCTCGCTTTTCTGTATCTGAAGCTGGGGTGTTGGGCTTGGCTGGCCCCGAGGGCTGGATGAGGGGAGCAGGACTGGTCCGCAAGCTGGAAAAGCGGTGTGAGGCTGGCCTGGGGGCTGGATCGGTTCTACGGACCCCTCATGCCGTGTCCAGTCTGGGACCTACGGAGAGAGGCCTGGCATCGCAGGCGCTTGGCTGCTGCTGCGGGAACAAGCCGCGGTACTGAGCTTCGTCCCGTGGTGCTCTTGGAGCTCCAGAGCTGCTGCTCTTGCCCAGGTGCTTGGCAGCCAAGTTGGACAGTGCTGGAGCCCCAGCAGCGAAGCAGCTTTGTTGAGCCAAGGAGGTGTCATTTTTCAAAAATGAAAGCAAGTCACTTTCATCTTGATTCTTTAGATACAGTCGTGTCACTTTTAAGCCAGTGCCATAGATAACTTTTAAGGAAGATATAACCAGAATGTATCCTGAAGTGTGTTGGTGGTTTTTCATGAAGTTTGCTTATGTAATGATAGCATTTAAGTAAGATCTATCTTCTTTTCACTAAAGGAGCTGGCAGCTATGACTGAAGAAGCCAACACACATTTTCTACAGAACTGTCACTCTGTCAAGAAGAGAAAGAAGAAGAAAAAGAGAAACGGAGAGCACACTGAGAGCTTTGCGAGTGACAGAGACAAATGTGCCTCGAGCATGGATGCCTGCTCTCCTCCTCCTGTGCTTTCTGAAGATCAGGGTTCACAGAACAGTGAATTGCATAAAAAGAAGAAAAAGAAAAACAGGAAAGAGAATCTTGCCACAAGTCTAGATGATTCTCTTATTTTGTGGGAGGGTGAAATTAATAACAAGACTGTAATAGATGCTTCCCAAGAGAAAAAGAAGCAAAAGAAACAGAAGCACAAAAAGAGCAGTAGCCTGCATGAGGAAAACAGTGTATTATATATCTCAGAAGACGAAGATAATGCTAGCAGCCTGGACCCTTTAGGGAATGTCGATTGTGTAATTGTACCTACTAAGACAAAAAAAAGAAAAAAGAATTTGTCAGAGGAACAGGATGAGGTAAAGGAAGTGCGTGCTTTTGATGAATATGCTTCCAAAAGGCAAAAAAAGAAAAAAAAAAGGGAACAGACCAGTCTCAGTCATACACAAGAAGCCACAGATGAAAACTTGGCATCATTACTTCTGTCATGTGCAAAACAAAATTCTGCCTCATTGCAAGAGGTAAAAGATAAGATGGTAAAGTTGAGGTCACCTACAGCAGTGCCCAGAAAGGGTTATAGAGGTGGAGAGTCTTCCAATCAGGCAAACTCAGAAGCTACAGAAATTTTTTTTGCATTGAAGAAAGGTCCCATGGATATACCCACTGCTATTCCTACGGTTACTTCAGGAGTTGATAATGGCTCTTCTGAAGAAGTCTTGGTGCCAGTTAGAAAGATTAAAAAGAGACGGAGATCAAGCTTGCAACAAGTACCGTCAGAACCTGAGAAAAAGTAAGGCTTAGATTCCCTCTATCTCAGTTTTCTTAGTGCTTTCATCACATTGTCATCTGAGCCCTAGTACATTTTTCTCTCCCTAGTGTATATGTCTTAAAAACCTGGATTCAGAATAACAGTGAAGGTTACATGAGACCTGCAGCATTGCTGAGTGTCACTGCCTTGAATTCCTGTGTCCTGATTCCAGGCCATCCTTAAGACTCAAAGAACTACATTCCCTGCATGGAAGTATATGACAAATGATTTTATTTGGTTAAGCTTGCAAGTCGAGGAGAGAAATAGCTTCAAACATTATGCCCTATACCTACAATGAACTCTGTGGGGGAAGACTCTAGTGACTTCAGTGGAGTTAAAGGCGGGTACAGGAGTCTGCCTAAAAAGTCTGGAGGTCTTAAGAGGAGTCTGCTAATTGTAGGGCTATATGTAATTGCACCAAGGTATTATTTAGATTATTAAAAGAATAGTAAATTAAAGCAAGGATTGGCAGCCTTTCAGAGTGGTAGACTACTTCAGCAAAGCTAGCAGTAAAGGTTGGCTGCTGCTTTGTCATTATCAAAAGTGTTTGGAATTGTAGCCGGATTGTAAGACTAGAAATAGAGTAGGGTGAAGTGGGCAGCACAATTCCCATATCTTTTGCTTGAAAAAGTGATTTTACTCTCAGAATTAATAAATCTTCAGTAGTAAACTCTAATTATTCTTGTTATCAGATTACCAGTGTCAGTGGCATTTGAAAATGAGGAAGACCAGAATGTTTCCCTTTCTGAATATGCAGACTCTGAAATCTCCATGTTGAAAAATGAAGAGTTCCTGGAATCTATGCCACTGTTGCAACTAGATTTGGAGGCTGCAAAACAGGAACTAGAGGAGTTTATTCCTCACGTGAGGAAAATGTCAGATGAATCTATCCTGAAGATGGCTGGAAGAGACCTGAACAGGTTTAAAAAATTTAAGAACGAAGGTGAGCTCCCAAGAGAGTGCTATACTGACAGAGCCAGGAGGCGAGTGACATCTGAAAGTAGTTTGACAGAGGAGGAAAGGATTTGATTTTATATAGTGCATTTTATACCCAGAATATCTGACTTCTAGAAATTGAAATATAGGAGACTCATGCAGCACATCTAATTCCAGTGGAATGGCAACAGGTTTAAAATCTCTAGCAGAGAGGAAAACATTTGTGTTATCAACTTGGATAAGAGCATTCCTTCATGATATGAAATATTTCTCCTCTGATTAGATTATTTCTCTGTGCTGTATTCTATTAAAAATGAGGGTTGCATTCTAAGCACAAATGTTTCTGTTTAGGGCTATCAATTAATTGTGGTTAATGCATGTGATTAACACAATCATTTGTGTTAATTTTTTTAAGGCGTTAATTGTGCACATGGTTTTGGAGCCTATGCCCAGTCTCCGCTTCACCACTGTTACAGTGGCCTGTGGGCTGCCCTGCAGGGCAGCGGTGGCAACACAGAGGACTGTAGGGCAGCCTGGGTGGGGGCTGTAGGTGGCTGAAGCAGTGCGGGAGGGAGGGGGGCACACACAGACATGCAGCTGCAGCCTGCAGATGCCCAGGAACGTAGCCCAGTGGTGTGTAAAAAGTGCCCAGCAGACAAGTCTGTGAAGGGGAAGGGGCATGGGGGAGGAAAAAGGCGGGCTGGGGGTGCATATAGAGTCTCGCGTGGTGAGGGAGGGAGTGGGGCAGAGGCTGGGATGAATAGGGCCCCAGGGCTGGGCAGGTCATGGGACTGAGCTGCTGGAGGCTCGTCCAAGTGTGCAGGAGGGCTTTTGCTGCTGCATGGACCCCCAGGTGCATTAAAATCCCTAATTTGAATCGCACAACTAACCATGGTTGAATTTTTAAATCATTTGACAAGCCCTAGTTCTATTACTTGCTTATTTCTTAGTTCTGTTTTCCTTTTATTCCAGCCTTACTTACAGGCCAGTATCCTGGCATCCAGGTTACAGTTGAGATGCTACATATGAATATTCCATCTCCAAACTGCTCTTCTCTCTCTGCGAGTTGATATATTGTCTCTTCAGAGCATTGACTTTTCATTGCCTGTTTGACATATTTTGTAAACCTGCATTTTCACCATGAAATGCAGGCAAGTTGTAACTAGAGTTCTGTTTTTCTAAACCAAATGTTTTGTATGTTCTAGGTGTTGCTGTCAAGTTTGGCAGGTTTTCTAAGAAGGAAAATAATCAGATACAGAAAAATGTGGAAGACTTTTTATCACTTACAGGACTAGAAAGTGCGGAGAAACTATTATTTACTTATAGGTTCCCAGAAGAGAAACAAAGCATCACTAGATTGAAAGTAAAATATGGATTTTGTGAGAAAATTGGTGAGTATTATACAATTGCTTTTAAAAGATGGTTCTTGCTCTCTAATGGTGGCATTATTGCATGTCATATAAAACCATGGGTTGTTTAAAAAGGATTTAGTTTTCAACTGTAAATCCGATTAAAATAATAAAGTGCAATTTTAAGATGATATGAAGTTTGTTAAATATCTTTGCCACTGATATGAGTCTCTGTGTTCACTTATGAAGGGTTTGCCGATTTAAAATTCAGCTTCACCTCACCACACGTTTTAGAGTTTTCAAAGCCAGAAGTACACATGATCAAGAGCACAATTTGTGCCGTTTCTTTTGGCTAGAAAATAAGTTTATGGGTAGACATTTTCAAAGCTCTCTGGTGCTCATTAGTGGGAGGTATGTCTAAAATCTGTAACTATTTTGAAAATTTCAGTCATATCCTTTGAGTATGTAAATAACTGGTAAGTTCTGTGTGCCGTGTTAGCTTAAACTGAAGGAGGCAATTAGAATGTTTGCAGATAGAATTTTATTGTTTTTCCTCACACTTTGGAAGATTGAACTTGTATACAAAGAGGATTTTTCCATTTTAATATCTAGCCTCTCCTCTCTTTTGTGCAGAACCCAACTGCTATGATACTTGTTCATTCTGAGATGACTTTTGATCTATTCTCTTGGTGCACTCAGTAAATGGCTTCTCATTCTATATTCATCTTTACTGTACTGTTTGATTGAAAGTGTTGAGAAGCATCTGTTGAAATAGGTCCATACTCCTTTTCTCTTCCAGTATTTTTAGTACAGCAGACTATAAGCATTGAACAATGGAAGAACTATCATTGATAATTTTTCTTGATTGTGCTATGTCTCTTTCTTCAACGGCCTTTTCACTGGGTAAAATGCATTTAAAAAAAAAAGAATTTTTTACTTTGTAGCTAAGAGAATTCCTCGACCTTGGAGACTGATATATGTGCGGGCAAGGAAGATGTTTGACCCAAACAACTATAAAGGCCGGTAAGAGTGTATTTTAGGCATTGCTGTGCACTAAGAGTTGGTCTTTGATAGCCACATCTTGCTTTAGTTTTTGTAACATACACAACAAAGAACCTTTCCATGTGTGAGAGCAATGAGCGAATGACAGTTCTAAATCATGCATTATTTACAAATTACAATATGTTCTTTATGTGATAGGAAATCTAGTTCCTCTTCAAATAGTGAGCCAAAAGTTAGCTCTTGCAGTTCAATAGGAAGTTAACAAATCTGGGTTCTGGTCGAATGGGGAGGAGAGAGCGTTTTGGGTTTGTAGGACACTCACAGTGAAGGCCATGCTCTGAACTTCGATTCCAGAGTTTCTGCTGTGATTGCAGCTGTGATAACATGAAACAAAGGTGAGGTTTGTATTTTAGGCAGCATGTATCTTTCCATGAGTTTAATATGTTGCATTAGAAGAACACTTTTAGCAGTTGCAGTCAGTTTGGGTTGTATTCAGAAACAAAAGATAGCATCTGCAATCTAACTTCCATAGACACTTTTATTAATTTTTTTGTGTGGCTGTATAGTCTGAAAATGCTAGTAGCAAGTTGCATGTTTCATAATGACTGTATGAGCAAAAGGTAACTTCTTCAAAGCACATCCTCTGTTTCTAAATTTCCTGGACAATTTTATGATTTTGCATTTCAGTTTTTCTAGTTTCAAAATATTTTTTCTCAATCCTGTTACTTGATTCATACAAATAGGAGATGGATAGAATAGGTTGGTGCCAGTAATGGAACATACTAAACTGACAAATGAACATCATAACAGACTAACGTTAATGCAGCTGAAGGGTTAAAGAAAAGACCATTTTATAAATATTACTTGAAATACTAATGAAAGATGGACTTTGTGGATTTTTGTACCTTTGTTTCTTTGAAACAACTGGGCTTTTTCAGCCTGTTTATTCTTCTGTTTACCTTTGCTGCATTAGGTATTCTGAGGATGAGAAAGAACAATTGAAGAGATATCATGCTATGCATGGCAACAACTGGAAGAAGATTTCTGAGATGATGAACCGTAGCAACCTCTCAGTTGCTCTCAAATATTCGCAGATGAAGGCCCGTAAGTCATCATTAAAACTAAAAATTCAAGCTCTGCATGTCAGAAATTAAAAATAATTTATTATTTTAGTTACAGTTCCAGCAAGTACTCTTAGGTTCTTTGGATATCATGTACTGGACAGGGTTCTTGCTTTGGGTTCCCCTGGTTTCTGTTTTTTCCAAGTTGCTATTTGCAGTGAATCTGTGTGTGTAGTTGATAAAAACAAACATTTCTGATTAGAGGTACAGAATTGAAATAACACAAGATTTAACATTTGATTAAAAGATCAACATATAGATTGACACATTTCAGTCAGAAAGCCTGACTGAGGTAAGAGCCAGGATTTGAAAAGAGCTTAGGCAGTTCTGAAAATCCTGCTAGGACATTAGGTATTAAGTTTCAATTAAAATTGGTGTTACCCAACCTGCTTAGGCAGTTTGACACTTGTAATAGATTCCTAGATACCTGTGAAAACCTGGCCCAGAGTGCATTACTCCTAAGACCTTTTGAGATTCAGGTCTCATTTTAACCATGTGGGTTGTCCCAGTCTAAGTGTATGTAAGAGCCTCAAAGCTACAATGGTCACTGGCAGCAAGCCAGACAAGAAATAAAGTAGAATGCCTTCCATTTCTCTTGCTGTTGGGCAGTCTTCTTCCAAGAGTTTCATGTAGTGCTTCACAATCAGGCCATTAAGAAAGAGGTCAGAGGAAATTTTATTGTGGCTAACTTAATAACCAGCTGGTTTTAAGGCTGTTCAGCTGCTCACCTTAGGAATTATAGATTGCTAGGCTACATATTTTGTTCTGGGTTTTTTTCTTTTTTATAAAACAGCCAAAAAATGCCCCTCAAAGGCTCTTTATCTAATTACTGTTGTCCAAGATTAACGAAATGTAGTCAACTAACTTTTTTAGAGAATATAATATGTAATGATATCCCTAAGCTGTGGGAAATCTGACTTCTATGTAGAGGAAGAGGTATTTGTAAGTCTGCACTTTAGTTAAGGGATGTCATCTGACCCCAGCACTCTTTTCTGCCTAGGCAGGGGATTGGACTCAATGATCTGTTGAGGTCTCTTCTGACCCCAGCATCTATGAATCTATGTTGGCCTGGCTGCAGTTCATTTTAGCCATAACAGGAGCTTGATTTTATATTTTTTAGGGTTTGTTTCTAAAAAAAAAAAAAAAGAGAAGCAATTATTTCGTCCTCCAGTGTGAATACTAGAAAGAGTCTCCTTGCTTATGTGGGATAGCAGTTAAAATGTTCACAGGGAAGCACTATTAGTGCATTCGCTGGTATTAAGAAGTTAACTTATTTAGTGTGTCCTTTCCCCATGTTCTCTCATTGTAAAAGTAGGGAAAATATCCCAACTGACACAATAGCAGCTATCCAAATGTTTTTAATTTGATATTTAAGAAATATCAAGTAAGCTTCATTTCTGGAGAAATGAAATGAGAGGTTGTAGACTTGTTTGGATTCCAGTCTTTCCTCACTTAACTTGTCAAATCCTTATGCAGAATGCTAGAGAGGCTGCCTTTATTTCAAACTGTAGTAAAAATAAAAGGTAGACTATAATCCAGTAGAACATGGTGAGGAAAAAGCATCCCTTTTCTTTGAGACATCCATTTTTATTTTTTCAGCTGTTGGAAGCAGCAGGTGGAATTAATTTATAATAGTGTTTTTGTTTGCCTAATTAGCACCTGTGTTGCACTTTCAAAGTATAAAGTGGTAGAAGGAACCCATAAATAATTCTCACAACAACCCTCTGAAGCAGACAAGTTTTTGGGTAGAGAAACTGATCCACGGGCCTATTTTACCGAAAAAAAGAAAAAATCTAGTGATAGGTTCCTAAGTCCATATATAGGCACACAAGTAAGTGGCCTGAATTTTTTTCAGAAATGCTGAGCCCCTAACAGTGCCCACTGAGTTCAGTGGGTTTGCTGCTTGCCAGTACTTTTGAAAATCAGACTGCAGGCCCCTTATGTGCGTGACTAAATTTGGCTTAGGCTGCCTAATATTAAGAGATTTTTTGAAAGCTTGAGTCAAGCAGGCAATGTAGCTTGCCTGACTATCAGTGGAATTAGTGGCAGGTTTGTGAATGGAGTTCTTAGCTTCTACTACACTCCTTTATCCACTGGTCTGGATGACCTGTCTCAAATCTGCCGTGGAAAAATGTTATTGCAAAACATCTAGATTGAATGTGGAACTGATCTTGTAAATATATTGCAGAACTGAGCGCACTCACTTGATTATTTTGCTCTTTGGGTCAATTGGTGAGAGGTTTTATCTAAATTGTTTGGCTTTTTTATTCAACATAGAAATTAATGCTGGTCCCTGGACAAAGGAGGAGACCCAGAGGCTAATTAAAGCAGTAGAGGAGATAATTCAGGAACGAGCCATAAAGGAAGACTCAGATTCTCTTTTCTTGGAAAACTCAGAAGAAACTCTTTCAGTTGAGCGTAAAAAACTCTACAAGAACCTACCTTGGGTTGATATACAAACCAAAGTAGGAACTAGACATTGGAGACAGTGTAAATCTAAGTGGTAAGTTTGTATAAAAGGCTTGGGAGTTATACGAGTCTGGGATTATCTTTTTGTTTTCTCTGTGTTTGCTTTCTTTAAACTGGTTGTGTCTGGACATGTATTTGTTTAATAAACAACTGGTAATAATAACAACAGGATGTAGGATACAAAAAAAATGTTATCGGAAAAATTACCAAAATTCTTAGTCTAGAGAAATAAGAAATGGTAGGCCAGATCTTAATTCCAAATCTTGTAATGCTTGTTGAAAGATATGACTCCCGTTACTTTAATCACACAGGATACTTTGCCGCAGCTCTGTGCAATATTAAGTATAACTTCATTATAGGAAAAGAAAGAAGAAAAATCAAAACAAATCACGAGTGATATATAATGCTTACTTATGTACAGTTTATTATGCTTGTGTCAATTTTTTTTCATTGGAGCTTACTGAGTTGAGAGCAGAGAAGCCTCTGGTGTGGGAACAAGCGAATTGATACCAATCCAAAAATTAATTATAATAATTTTTTTTAATTGTTGTATTTGCATCAGTGTTGAGGGTAGTTGGTGTACAAAGACACATTGCTTTTTCAACTCTAAAGCTTCTCTGTCTATACACAACTTAAATGCAAGTTCTGCAAAGTTGTAAGTGTATGAATAATTGAAAGTGGAGCTACTTTCTTTCATAACATCACATGTGTACTTAAGTGTCTCCATCATGTGGTATTGCGTTTATGAAAGATAATTTTTTAAAAGAAAGGGCACAACTTAAGATGGCAAACTGCCTGCTTGCTCTTTCTAAGGAAAAGAAACTGAAAGCTGGCAGATAGGTAAGAGTCCTACCAAATAGGAAACTTAGAGCCGGAATTTGCTCTTAGATGCCGTTGTAGTGAATGGGCTTGAACAGACACGGGTTGCAAGATTCAGTTCCTTAGTTTGGGTAGCTGCATTAGACTAAGTTGCTTAGATTTCAGTGTAACCTCTTCATGTAGAATAGGTTAACCGCATTATGAGAAAAGAAAGATAAAAGCATTGGAAGTTATAAGAAAGTGAAGCCATAGACCTATGAAGGCCCAAGACTTCTAGAACAATTAACAAAATATATAACCATCTCTTTTTATCGCTGAACAAGATTGAATGTTTTTGTTTTTTTTACCCAAACTTTAACTTTAAGTGATGGGGAAATCTCTCTCTCTCTCACTGTCTTTCTCCCCTCCCTTACAAGGCTTTCAGTTCTAACGAAGAAGATGTCCAATGGGGAGGCGCTATATCATGGGACAAAAGGGTTGCGAGCTAAAATCAATCTCATTGAAAGGTAGGGATAAATATAATGCAGTGTGCTTTTGCTGCAGTATGTGGAGCATTTGTCAGGTGACATTCGGGAGCACATGCAATAAAAGTGAAGTGTGTCATTTCAGACACAGAAGTTCCCACGGCATTAGGTTCTCTTCCTAGTTTTCTGTAAAAACTAGGCATGTTAAACCATCCTGAGTGCAGCTGGCCTAGATACAAGCAGCACTTCTTTACAGGCAGAGGGATTTGTTGTCTGATCAGCTGAAAGCTTGTTCTCCATTTCTTTGTGCTGTGGTTGGCCCTGCCCAGCTGACACAGGTGCTACTGAGCAAGCAGTGGGCCCTTTCTCCTGTGCATTGTCAACACAATGACTTAAGTTCCAATTATTAACATCTGTGTAAGTCTACTGCCTGCAGTGGGGTTGCTACAGGGGAATGAGAAAAGTATAGAAAATGTGTGTGTGCAATTTGGTTAGTAGAACTTCTACTGGTGACGATGTATGATACGGAAAGAGAACCAGGGTATATCTGGCAGTTAGAGAAAAGGTCCTTCTTACTTGTAAGCAGCTTAACAAATGAAATTTCCAGAGAGATGGGAGCAATTCAGAATGGAGATGTTAACAATTTCAGTGATGCTCAATCTCTGGCCTGTGGGCTGAATCCAGCCCACAGTGCTGTCGTGTGGCTGGTGGGGCTTCCCACAAGTCTGAAAATTTGGTGATGGGGGAGCAGTGGCAGTGTTAATTGCTCCCAGAGCCACAGCAATTAATACAGACCACACTGCTCCACAAGCACATTTCTGTATCTGTGGGGAGGTTCGCAGGTTGGATCGCACCAGCCCCGTGCTGGATCAGGCTCATAGACTCGCCCTATGGTACCCATCGGACCACGAAGTTGAGCACTAGGGCTGTGTAAAGCTTCGGCTGCTGATTTGATTTGGTGGAGATTTGGCCTGATATGGGAGCTGAATCTCTGAATATGAATCAATTCAAGAGACCCTTCAATCTCTCTGAATCGAATCAGAACCCTCCAAATCAGTTCGGAGAAGTTCATAAACATTCAATGATTCGGACATAGACACAGCTTTACATGTTTTTCCTACATATCTCTAGGTAGCAGGGGCTCTGAATGCTGCAGTGCTGGGGCAGATGGAGCGTCCCAGAGAAGCTCAGGGGGGTCCCCAGCATGATCAGCAGCAGCCCCAGAAATGGACCAGAAGCACTTCAAGTCCACTTCCAAGTTTGCCGCCAAGCACGTGGGGGCCCCGCCATGCTTCTGTGGGATGCTCCATCCACCCCAGCATCTCAGCATTCATGAGCTGTGCCTGGTACCTCGAGGTATGTAGAAAAAACATTTAAAGCTGTGTCTATGTCCAAATCGCTTATTTGGAAATATTTGAAAATGCTGTTCTCAGCACGCAGGTAGAAAGAAAACTTTGCTTTTAAGTTTTTTGCCTTTTCTCTTTCTTTTTGTTTCAGTTTGGCAACCGTGAAGGTGTTTTAGCATCATTTTATATATTTAACATGTGTGCACAGTTTCACCCAGAGTTACCAGCAGTGTTTATCTTTGTAGAATATGCCTTGGTTGGGGAAGAGGATCATGGACCAATAGGATATGAAACTGCCCTCTCTGCTGTGCCTATAAATTGCTTTTTCATTGCAATTCCTAGGTTGTATAACATGAAGGTGGAAGATGCTAATGAAATAAACTGGGAAGAGCTCAGCAGTGTCTTTGGGTAAAAGCTTTTGTTTTGATATTTGAATTTGGCCACAAACAGGCAGTCTTTAGAAGTCAGCCAGTGTTATGTTTTTGGATTAAACAGTAAGGATTTTTTTGTAATGTATGGACGTTTTACTAAGTAAAGAAACTCCACGAACAAATCAGGCTTAGCATAAAGGCTAATTTTATTATTCTTTTAGAGCTAATACAAATATAAAGCAATATAGATACCTTCTACTGCAATATGAAAAGATTAACATATATGCTCACCACCTTAAAAATAATGAACACGACGTCAGTGGTTGAACACTCTGTAAAGTTTTGTCCATGGCAGGGGTGGTTCTCAATTCCTACGTTAAGTTCTGCTCAGGGTAAACTTTTGGTCTGAGGATCAAGGTTTTCTAGGGTCTTGAAAGCCCACTTCCCCAATTTTATACCCTTCTTGTTTACATAACTTCACTTCTTAACACGTGCATTTTTCTATGGATGCTTATTTACGTCGCGCATTTCTATAGTAGCCCCATATCTTAACAGTTATTTCTCGTATGGTTTGCCTTGCTTTAAAGGGCTTCTATTTGCCCAAAACCGTCTGTTTTTCTGTTTTTGACCAATTTTTTAGTATTCTCAGTTCATTCTAATTTAGCAAAATCTGCATTTTACATACATAACTCCCATTCCTGAACAAAAGTCAAGCTACTTGTATCAAAAGGCCTTTATTTTAGGCTAAAACCAGCCTAAGTTCTCAGAAATATAAACAAGCTTGGACTCCTACAGCCACACAGAGTCTCACTGAATTCAACAGGACTGTGCGCTTACAGATCACTATGCAGTAACAGGACATAACATTTTAGGAATAGGTGTTTAAACTTAAAATGACAGGAAACTATTTTTTCTACCTTATCTTATAGCTTTCCTACCACTGTGAACATAGTGGCCAAGTTGCTTTTCTGTATGGCTAAGTACAGACATTTGGGGCATTAGGGGATGGTTAAATCAATTCGAAGTGGCTGCCTGATATTAGGTAAATCAGGATTTTGCTGGGGGGGAGTAGCCAGGGGATTGGGGGTCCAGCAGACTGGAGGGGACCAGGGGTCCACTGAGGACTGGGGAGGCAGGCGCAATGTAGGGGTTGGGGGATGCAGGCGTGACCCGCAAGGGGTAGGGGGAACAGGCACGACTTGTGGGTGCGGTAAAGGGGGCAGGTACAACTCAAAAGTCATGGCTGGGGGCAGGCTCAACCTGCGAGTGGGGTGGGGTCCCTCCGCTTAGTGAACCTACACCCCCCTCCCACTCCTGCCGGACTTATTTGTTTGGCAGCAGCAGCGGCTGAGGCTGATTAAAAGCATCTGCACCTGAGGCAGTTTGTGAGATGGGGGTTGAGAGTGCTGGCAGGGCAGAGAGGGGAGCAAGGGGCTAGGGGGGAGGGCAAAAATAGACTAGTGTGGGGGAAAGGGGGAGCAGCCCCAGGGCTGGAGCCAGTGGTTGGATTTTCCCAGCCTCAAGGCTGTAGAGGGGAAGTGGACAGAACTTCCATGCACCAGTTTGACTTAAATGAGTCTGATACTGTATAGATCCAGGGCTATCTTAAACTGGGTTCTGCCATTTTTAGACTGGGTTGTGTGTACGGAACATCTGTTCCGTTACAGATTTAGACTGATTGCCGGTCACTGAGGCCACATCTGTAAGTGTAAGGTTAGCACCCAGACGAGCTAAGTTTAAATTGGGCGGCCGTTATGAATCCGATTTAACCTCCCAAATGCCTGCACTTATCCTGTGTGTAACACTTGAGTTATTCTTATTTTACTTGTGTAGGATGGCTGTTGCATAAAGGATCTGTAATATTGCAGCCGTGTCGTAGAAGAGCCTGAGTATGGTGTACAAAATGACCCAGTTCTGTCCATGTAATCCTCTGCATTTCCCAGATCATACAGAGGAACAGATAGGAATGACAAATTCTTTCCACTTTCAGCTTCACTTATTTTTTCTTCTTCCTAAGTGTGTAATACACATTTATACCACGGTTTTTGCCTTGGTGTACCCATGCATAAGATTAACCACTGTCATGACCAATTATTTGTATTTGGTCCTTTAAAGACCAGGCAGATTTTTAAATACTCATATCTGACAGTGTGAGGTTGGCTAATTGGAGCAAAAAGTGCCATTGGAATGACACTGCTATAATAATAAAACTTTATAATAGGCTGTCTTTACCCATATTTGAAACCTTTCTTTTTTCAGAGATGTCCCTGAAGCGTATGTTCAGGGTAAATTTTCTAGGCTAAAGGCTACGTATGTTCCCTTCTGGCACTCGAAGTCTTTTCCTGGTGAGTATCTCTCTTGGTTGCATTATGCATTCTTTCAACTTTTTTTTAAAGCTTATTACTCTGTTAATCTTTCAGTGGTACTCTGAGTCAGCTTTTCCCTGTATATGATCAAATTAGTTTTATTTTTGTTTAATATTTTGGGGTTAATAAAAACAAATACACAAAAGTGGGTGCATTTCATGAAGTCAGCCTGCATTATGCTCGAACCTACCACTTTTACCACTCTGCTTTTTGGAAGTTCATTAGTTCTTCCCATGGTACCCATATGTACATGTGTGTGCATATGCTGATATGGTTACTGGGGAATAGCCAAGAGGAGAATGATGGTACCCTTTTTATCTCCACACATAAATTAAACTCTGCCTACTTGACTTGCTGCTCTTAGTAGATGTTCAAAATAATCGTACATGTGGTCTGGGCTTGGCTTCCTCTTGGTTCTGACCATGCCTGGAGGTTCAGTTGGGCTTTGCCTATGTGAGGCTTATAAGTCCCATTGGGTTTTCAAACATGCCTTCTATCGGACTGTGGCTCATATACCCCATTGGGCTCTGCTAGTTTTCTTGGGCTGAGCAGGAATGGTATTGCAAGAATGTCAGTCTTGTAAAGCGTAATGAAAAAACACAGCTTGTTGATGAAAAGACCAAAATAAAATTAAGAATAAATGGAATGTTCTGTTTTTTCTTTAAAGAAATCATCGATTACCTTTATGACGAGACAATTCCATTGCTTCAGAAAAAGTTAGAAAAACAGCAGGACAGATTTTCTTATGAAAATTTGTCTTCCAGCCAACAGAAAAAGCTTTTCCGAATCAGTGATATCTTTGATGACAGCAAGGAGGAGGGTAATGACCCTGGTGGCAATAATTGATTGTTATTAAAGGCGCGCTCTTTTCCCCCATATCCAAAATGCCAAATTTTGGTCCTCTTGAATCCAGGATTAGATGAAGGGCTAATATATATATAACTATGAAATAACTGTCAGAGCAAAGGCACTTCTGCATATTTCTGTTGTTTTATGTGGAAGCGTGTGAAGTTTACTTAATTTTTTTAAATTTTAGGCAGCATCGTTGTTATATTTTCTTTTGCTTTTTTGAGGAACACACTAGCACATTTTTAATGCTGTATCTACTACACATTGGGCATATCTACAGGTGTGATTAATGTGCCCCAGAGCTTATTGCCCTAAAGTTTATTCATGTGCAGCACATGGAGTCCAGTCGGAACAGCCCTGGGCTGGCGGGCTGACCCCTGGGTCCCCTGCTGTCCTGGGCTGCTCCAGCTGGGCTTCATGTGTTGTGGAGTGGCTGGTTGAGGCATAAGGGGGCTTCAGTGTGGGGGCTACCTGCTGGCTAGCCCTGCACTGAAGCATCCTGTGCTCTAGCCAGCTGGGGCAACGTCTACACGTGCGCGGCTGCACATGAAAAACTCTGCAGCAGGGTAGTACTCGTAATTACTGCAGAATTAATTAGTCAACTGTGCAGTAAACGTCTTGTGTAGATGTGCCCATTTGGTAACAAACCTGTTAAGCCTCTTTGCTTGACTTTGGTATCAACACCTTAAAGTTTAATTTAGGTTTTTTAAAAAAAAAATGTGTAAGTCCTTTTGTTCTAAGTTTATGCAAGCAGAAAAAAAATTGCTTTTCTGCATATGTGTTACAACAAACCTTCAGTCAGTAGCTTAGGTAACTTGAAGGGACCTCCTGTTTTAAGAGAGAATAATCTTATCTGGAGATAATCATTGCATTTTAGAGTTGAGTTAGGACTTTTTAGACCCTTTGTTAAATGTTTTCTACATGATTGAAATATGCTGGTTGTTAGTAGCATCAATTTGCTGTTGGCCAGACTGCAGAGAAGTAATTGCTGCATAGCTCATATACGTTGTTAATACTGGTAGTGACTATATGGTCCCTTCCCTTCACGCCCCTATTTGGCCTTTGTTCTGGCTGGTTGAGGTAAATCCATTTTATGGTAAAGTTTTATATAAACTCAGTTGATTTTTTTTTTTTTTTTTTTTTTTTTTATAAA